TGCCTATATATTACCCTATGGACACCATCAGCAGCAGAATGGCTCATGGGTATCTAAGGTTATGGGATAATCAATGGCTGTGCCAAACACCATGTGCCAGATGCCAAGAAGTAAGAGCAGACTGCAGATTATCCAAGCAGAGGTCTATCTGCAGCCCACAACAGCCTTCTCCTTCTCCACCTGAACCACTCTTCCTCCTCAATCTAGATCATCGGAAAGCATCGCATAGCTTTCAGAGCTTGCTTTTAGGGAGAACCAGTGGCTCATGCTAATTCACCATTTTCATTGCATTTTTTCTACATAATTTTGGGTCTATTCCTCCTTTATCTCTGAGTTTCAGCAAAGAGATTACTTTTTTTGGCAAGAAGAAAAAAAACTATGTTCAACAAAACTGAAAAGTGCTACCAACTGCACAGAGCTCATGAGCCCTGATATTTCTGTTATTAAATCATCAAATCCTTTCCAGTAACTGGAACCACCAGAGATGTTATTGTTTAATCAGCTAATTTTCTGTGTAATTATTTAATACAACTAAACATTTGTATCCAGTCTCAACAATCTATATGAAAGCCAGAAAGCCCTAGAAAATGATGCTACATTTCATTCATTCATTTAGTCATAAAACATTAATTGAACAATTTCCGTGTGCCAGTCTCTAGGTTATGCAAACAAGAAACTAAGATTAAGTACTTGTCTTGAAGATTTTCACTGGAAGAATTATGGGGGGGGGCAGTAAACAGAGTCTTATATAATTATAATTATAATTAAGTGCATAAGTCATAATGGAGCATAGAGAAGGGTGCTTCTGACTTACTAGTGCAGGATATGAAGATTTCCTGGAGAAATTTTCTCACCTGATAATATGGCACAATATCAAGGCCACATTGTTCTGGATTCTCAGAAAACTTCTTTTTTTTTAATGTTTATTTATTTTTGAGAGAGATAGACAGAGTGTGAGCAGGGGAGGAGCAAAGAGAGAGAGGGAGACATAGAACTCTAATTGGGCTCCAGGCTCCGCACTGTCAGCACAGAGCCCAATGCAAGGCTCGAACTCATTAACCGCGAGATCATGACCTGAGCCAAAGTCAGATGCTTAACCACCTGAGCCACTCAGATGCCTCTCAGAAAACTTCTTATTACAAGATTCACCCTCAGCTGCTCAAAATCTCTACACAAGGATTCTGCCTGTCATTGCAGAAAACAACACCAAAATAACCTTATCTGACAATTCTTTCCTGAACATACAAGTTGTTTGCTAAACCAGTTTGGTATATGCTGGCTGTAACTTGGAAGTGTGGTTTGTGGTAAGCCAGCACCTACCTATTCAAACCCGGGCTTTCATGTACACTAAGGTGTGAGCACCTGCGCTTTTGAAACCCTGACATCTGGTCATAGATACATTCCAGATGAGGATGTGGAAACCATGTTTGTTATTATTTTTCACTATTTTCTCTACTAGAATCACTGTATAAATCAGTTTTGTGAGCAGTTGGAAGTCCCAACTCTTGAACCTCTAGCATGTTCCTTAATATCAAATCTATATGAGCGCTATATGATAGGTAAGTCTTACCTACCTTATCTCTTACCCTGACTATATGAAAAGATTTTGCCAATAAAATCCACCAATTATCTACTTGACAAAGCTGCATTTGGAGTTACCATTTCCCAGGTACCCAGACAAGTGCTAGGCATGTAGAGCTGGCCAACACATAAAATTTCTCCTCCATGGAATTTATAGTCTCATGGGGCAGACTGATATCGAACAAGTAATTATAAATGTGATGAACACTACAAAGGGGAAGTACAGGGTGCTGTGGAAGCATAGAAAAAGTGCTTTAAAAAGTGGCTTCCTCTGTAGAACAACTGTGGGAAATTGAGATTTCACATTAAAATCAATAGGGCTAGAAGCGTAGGCTTCATTTTTTAGAGGACGCATTGTGAACGGCTGTGCTTTTGATACCAGGATACCCATGGGGGATCCAGAGGCCACAGAATAAGCACGATGCATATTTCTGGTGCTTGGGTGTCACGTGAAGATTTGGGAAAACAAACATTTTTATTAAAACAAATATAGATATGTTATGGAGTAGACTTGTATGCATGTTAAAGATAAAAGATGAAACTTCAAAGAAATTTCACACTTGCTGTGATTCCCTTTGAACTACACCCCCAGACTCCCTAGGGGTGTGTATATTCATTCTCCTCTGCCTTTAGGGGTACTTTATAAAAAAATAATGTTTAACAAGCAGTAGAAAGAGCATGGGACCTGACATCACTAGGAATAGCTGGGTAGTCTCTGCTAAGTCAGCTGTGACTCAGTTTCCTTGGGGATAGCATAGGGATGATGTCTTACCTCTAAATATTGCTGTGATAGCAAATGAAGCAGTTTCAGGACAATGTTTGCTACAAAATAAATATTAGTTATCTCTTCCAATATCAGTGAAAGATCTGCACTGCTTAAACTGAGCACAGCTAGAACCACAGAAGGAACAACCAAAGAAAGCAGGTTTTAGCAAGCCCGTGTTATGTTCCCATCTGTTTATCCATTAGCATAATAGCTACTGTAATAACAGCTAACAAATGTGAGTGTATGTGTGGTGAATCTGAAATGCTTGTAAACTGTAATTTAAAGGAACAAAACAAACAAACCTACCCATTTTCCATATGTTAATATATTTTTACTTTGTGTTACTATTTTTAACTGTTTTATATTGATTATGACAGATAAAGAAAAGAAAAACACAGGACTATACCCACTCTTTTTGTGAATGGAGTATAGGATTAAAGAATATAAGAACTCTTGGTAAATTCTAAATCAGTATACAATTATAAAGTGCTATTATGGTTATGATTATAAGGGTATGCTAATAAAGGGCTCTGAATTTCTCAATAGTAGGTATTTCCAATCCAGGTAGCTGGTATACTTATTTTTTTCTTAAACTCAATTTTGGCCAAATTTTGCTCTCTTTTCCAACATTCTGAGCCCCAATGAATGAGGCAAACTGAAAAATTAAGGAAAAATTACCTATGGATAAGAGAAAACTCCAATTATATTGTGTTATTTTTACAATAAGAGAAGAGAAAGATATGGCTTATTTTAATTTTCCCAAATATTTCATATCTATAGTGGAATTTGGATGTCTTGATATTATAGCAGACTAATTAAATAAAATGTCTACTTGTTTCACCTAATGAGACTAAAAGAAAGAAAACATATCAAGGTTGTATTTATTATTAAATCTTTGTTACTTAAAAATGTATTATTATATCATTACAGTGCTATGACAGGAACTTGAGTTGTTGAGTAAAAGACTGCTTTTCAGTATCTGCAGTAAAGTAAATAGTAGGTTCATTAGGAACATGGTGGGTCTGAGCTATGCTGCCAATGCAGAAGGTCAAGGTCAGTTCATCAGGTATAAATCATGCAGGGCTCATCACCTGCATCAGAGAAAGTCCAGGGAAGTGATTCAAGGTTGGAGTCATAAAAGTATGGTCTTGCCAGAGCTAAAAGAACCAAGAATTCTAGTTGCCTTCAAGCAAGACAACCAATAACCATCTTTGAACTATCTTAAGTGGATAGATATCTGGTGTTAATTCTTTAAGGTCTCTGATAGTGGCTACTGCATATTATTACTTACCACAGGACTGAATACTCTAGTGACTAGGCATAGGAAAGAAATCATTGCCTACTTACTACATGGGAAATTATACCAAGTACATTAATGTCTGACCTCAAGTTATGCGATGTAAACAGAAGTTACTGCTAATATTCTTTCATTCCAAAGTCTTAAGGTCAGTGCCTTCTGATGAGGCTTTTCTTCTGTCTGGGCCTCATAGAAAGGTGGCATCTTACCACATGTCCTACCAACTTCCATATTTGTAATGGATCATGCTAATCTCATGCAGTGAGATCTCACTCCTCCCCCTGACTGGAAAGGTCCCCATTTAGTCTTGAGACAGAGTTAGGAGAAAGGCAGAGTTTCCTTTGTTGAAAATGAGGAGGAAGAATGGTACATCTCAACTGTTTGTGGCTGTTTTCCCTCCCTATCTTTTTTAAATCTATATGTATGGAACCATACCAGACATTTTGGGTTTCTGGAACCTCCTAAACTCATCTGACAACTACAGGAGTCTCAAATGAAGACTGGAAGTTACAAAAGAGGTACTTAATACACATCTTTAGTGATTCTGAGATTCTTGATTAATGCCCTTTTCTTTTCTGAATAAATGGTTGTGAAAATAGTGAAAAGTGTTGGGATTTGATATGTATATTTGGGGGTTGAGTTAATAGGACTTTCTGATCCATTGAATATTGGGGAAAATTGTGCTGGAAAAAGTCATCCTGGACTAGCCATCAACTTTTGAACTAGGAAACAAATTGGGTGAACAGTGATTCAAATAACTGGTATGTTGAATACTAGGGAAAAAGTGGGTTAGAAGGTTGGTGAGAGTGGAAGGAAATAGACAACTGAAGTGAAATAGTAAAGACTTTTTGACATGTTAAGTTTGAGATACATTTTGGGGCGCCTGGGTGGCTTAGTCGGTTAAGCATCCGACTTTCGCTTAGGTCATGATCTCGTGGTTCGTAGGTTCGAGACCCGTGTCGGGCTCTGTGCTGACTGCCAGCTCAGAGCCTGGAGCCTGTTTCAGTGACTCCCTCTCTCTCTGACCCTCCCCTGCTCACGCTGTCTCTCTCTCTCTCTCTCCTAGAAATAAATAAAAATATTTTTTAAAAAATGTTTGAGATACCTTTTAACCATTCGGGTGGAAATTCATATATGAATTTAGAGCTCAGGATAAGAAATGAGAGTTAGATATAAAATATAGTCACTGTTATACATATAACCAGTGCTAAATCCAGCCAGCTAGCCATCTTCAGCAATGTAGTCTAAGGATTTACCTTCTTACTATCTATTTGGTTATTTGTTACTACAGATACACAGTAAATGTGAGATCCAAATCATACAGTTTCAAAAAATATAGATGTTATCATGCTTTTTACCTGTAATCCTTCTGCTTTATGAAATCTGAAGCCAATACTGTAAAATACAATTTCATATACATTAATATTTAATTTGGTAAGTGTATCATTGAGTATTACACAAGTTTTCTTCCCATTTAGTAACTCCAACACATCTTTTTTTCTTAATATTTTCAAGAGAATCCAGACATAAACAGCACTGAGATATGGTCAAAATCCATACTTCATTTAAAAATTAACTTATCTGGAATATTACTGGGTGATCAAAAAAAAATGAATTCTTGCCATTTGCAATCACGTGGATAGAACTAGAGTGTATTATGCTAAGTGAAATAAGTAATTCAGAGAAAGACAAATATGTGATTTCACTCATATGTGGAATTTAAGAAACAAAATAGATGAACATAGGGAAAGGAAAGCAAAACTAAAATAAAAACAGAGTGGGAGACAAACAGTGGGAGACTCTTGAATACAGAGAGCAGAGTGTTGCTGGTGGGGTGTTGGGTGGGGGATGGGCTAAATGGGCGTTGGAGTTTAGGGAGGGTTCTTGTTGGGATGAGCAGTGGGTGTTGTATGTGAATGATAAATCAGTGAAGTCTATTCCTGAAATCATTATTACACTATATGTTATCTAACTCGGTTTTGAAAAAAAATAAAATTTAAAAATTTTAAAAACATAACTTATCTGAAGAATATGTATGTTTGTGGGCTTTATCATTAGCTTCAATTTGTTTCTTTTTGTCATACATTAATTTATTTTTAACCTTAACATTTTGAGAAATAAACTTGAAAATTTGGTTAGGAAAGAGGATAAAAAATTTCAAAATAGCTGTCATTTACAATTCTTGAAATTTATGCCTGAAAAAAACTAAAGAAGATTTGCCATCAGGTTCACATTATGGATTTATAGGGAGAGAATGAGAAAAACTGATGTTACTATACAATCAACACTTTGCAATTTGCTTTGAAATACCTTTTATTTTTGAGGCAAAATTCTGGAGGCTGGGAAAGAGTATGTATTAAATATATGAAAAGTAACAGAAGTCTAAAGGAATAATAGGATTCTATATTGATAAGCTGGGAAGATTTTGGTTAACAAAACATTTCGTAGTTGGTGGAATTTTATTCATCTACAAAATTTCAGGCTTCTTGGATTCAGAGAATGTAGTACTTGCTAATCATTTGAACCATAAGATAACATTTTAATGAGGATTATATGATTTCACTGGAAGGGAAAATGTTCTAAATCCTTCCACTCAAAATTGACGACTTGTATTTAAAGCTGTCTGACACATTCTAAAGTCTGGATATAGATTTAATACTAAGGAAGCAACACTAGGTCTGGTTTTGTCAGAATTGTTGTCTTCTAGAATTATATTGTTTAGTGTTAGAAATCTATGTTTTTGGTGTAGTTCCCCTTCTTTACACTAGGGTGAAAGAGTCTAAATCATTGGAAGTCATGGAAACAGAAATAATTTTTTACACTTTGTTCACAGCCTGAGCCCCATGGGCAAAGATTGTTCCTGTGCTGCCTGCACAGCATTTCCCAGGCTGCCTATCAGACTGTGAAGAGCTTTTCTGGAAGAGAGAGCATGAGTGAAGAGCATCACAGAATGAAAATGCACAGGACAAGCCATATCAAGGGCAAAAAGTAGACTGACATAGAACTGCAGAAAGGAACACAGTGTAGTTAGAAGCAGCCCGACTCAGAACTGAGGTGGTGAAGAAAAACAAAAACAAAAACAAAACAAAAAAACATGAGGATGTTCAAAAGGCAGTGTGAATGGCAAGGATTAACAGCTCAGGCTCCAGAACCAGACTGGCCTCCATCCTGCCTCCCCAACTCTGCCCCTGAATAGCTACATAACCTTGAGCAAGTGGTTTTAACACCTCTGTGTCTTGTCATCAATATGATGAAGATAATAATAGCACCTATCTCATAAGCTACTGTGAGGTTAAATGAGTTGATATGTTCAATGCATTTAGAATGATACCAGGCAAGTAATAAGCCCTTGGTCAATATTTAGTTTTTATTTTCAAATCTTAAGTGAGATTAAGAAGGAGTTAAAAAAATTATATGAGGAAAGTTTGGAGTAATTCACTATTAGTCTTTATCTTTACATAAGGACATCTTAGCAGAAACACACACACACACACACACACACACACACACACACACACAGAGTCAATCCAATCACAGAATCACAGGGAGGGGTAAGGGAACACTTAACAGATAGACTATCACGTTTCAACCTAAAAATAATGACCAGAAATTAAAGAAGTCTGGAATAGTTCCAGAAGAAAAAGGAAAAAAAAATAGGAAATTCTTCAGGGCCTGTTATTGATATTTTATGAGAATTTGATAAAGCAGGGCATTCAAGAGTGAGTGCTAAATCCGTGTAAGGTAATAAAGGCTTCGGAAGGTAATAAGAATCATGGACCCTGCACACATAAGGTGCTCTAAGAGGTTTAGTAATTACTTAAATGAAAGAACATTGTCATTTCCATAATCACAATTCAAATTCAGGGGTCACTTACGGTTGATAATGCTACAGATGCCATTCCATCTTCTGTAGCAGAAGAGGCTTTTAGCACAGAGCCGCTTACAGCACTTTCCTGTACCTTGTTCATTTCCCCATTATTTCAAGGAGACATTCTACTCTTGTACGGAAAACATTTTCAATATTAGAGCTTGCTCATGGAAAAGCTTTATGGTCTGAATATAACATCAACACATGAACGTGAGCAGCAAAGAAACCTTAATGAAAATAAGGTCCAAAGGACCTAAGTTAGAGATACCTTTATTTTCACTCTACTGAAGATGTCCACATGCAAAATGATGATATCTAATCATACTTCTGTCTTCTTCAGATGAATCTGGACAAATTGAGATATATTAAGGAGATTCCTTTATATTTGAAATTGTCCTAAATAATCTCCACCAAAATTACATGACAAGATCAGTATTCTCATGAATCTAATATTGATAATCCATGCCCAACATATCTTCATGAAAGTAACTTAGGTAATAGCAAGATAACATACTCCAGTGATTTTCTGTGTCAGAGGTCCCTAAGCCTGCCACAGGTTTGATAATTCCATACAAGGACTCAAAACCCAGCCTATAGTCATGTTCACGGCCAAGATTTATTACAGTGAAAAGACACAAAGCAAAATCAGCAAAGGGAAAAGGCACATGGGACAAAGTTCAGAGGAAACCAGACACAAGCTACTAAGAATTGTCTGTCAGTGGAGTCAGACAGAAAGTGCTTAATTCCCTCAAACTATGAGTTGTAACAACATGTGTTAAGTGTTATATACCAGGGAAGCTTATGAGAGACTCAGTGCTTGGGATTTTATTAGGGGCTGGCCACATGGGCACCCTCTGCAAACCATGTACCCAAAGTTCAGAATCCCAAAAGGAAAGCTGGGTTCAGCATAAACTATATTGTTTATGAACAGTTTAGGCACCATGAGCCCCTCCCACCATCTAGGAAAAGTTTTACATTGGTGTAGGGAACTATTTGCCAGTTAAGCTCCTGACATGAGCTAAGGGACAACTTGTAAGCGGACCTTTCTAAGCAGACCAGGCTCTTTTCTGCACATGGAGAAAGGCAGACTTTCAGACCAGTTTTTAAACCCAAGAAGAAAGGAGCTTAGCTTTCTTGACAACCCTGAACTTGACTTGCCTAATGAAACTGTCAGAAATGGTAGCACCCTTCCACAATATAGGTCACTGCCAACTGACAAGTATATAGGCTCTTAACTCATTTTATCATTGCCACCTAACCACTGCTTCTCCATTTTTTTCCCTCTAAGAAACCTGCAAACACATTCCAGTCCATTTTAAAGAAAAGGATCTGATGTAACACTTATAAAGATGAGAACTCCATCTACCAGAAGTATGTCTATCTAGAGAGCATCTTCACAAATATCAAAATGAAGAGACACAAATTTCTATGTCAGAGATTCAGGAATCTTGAAGAAATTTCAGTCAATGCTTGTTTTTCTTTACAACTGTAAATTCCAAAATGGGAGAAATAGAGAAATCATTTTTGACACTCCCCCTTCTCACCATTTATATTGTCAATTATTAAACTGTGCCAATGTTAGTTCCTAGAATATTTTCCAACTCTGTCTACCTCTCTCCATATTCACTCTGTTTCTCCCATCCAAGTTACCAATATTGCTTTATGATATAGCAATACAGACTCCTAACTGATCCTCCTGGACTCCATTTTGATCATGCCTTTCAGTAATCTATCTTATAGGCACGGTGATCTTTCAAAAACATTAATCATCCCAACTTACCTGACAACATTTTTCCATAGATTGATGACAGAAAAACACCCAAATCATTATCCATCTCTGCATTATTTATTCCATGCCGAACTCTGTAGCCCCACTTAATGCCTTGATGGCCTTTGCTTCCTGAGTTCCATGCACAGAGACCTTATACAATCTTAGGGTCTGCTCACCAGCTGCTCTCTTTCTTAGTTAAGTTATGCTCATTCGTAGTCTTGACTATCACCTCCTGCTCTATTTGCAGTATCTTTCACAGTGCCTTGCACATACTCAATGCTAAATAAATACAGATTGAGTAAATGAATAATTCTATATCTAATTCCTCTGCTTCATAGTCCTTAACATGGCACTGAGCATGACCAAAACAGACCTAATAAATACATAAGTAGATTGATTGCTATGTACATTGGTGCAATCTTGTTAGATTTCAAAATTATTTATTCAAAATGCAGTATTTTCTACTTGTTTTTGTTATCATGTTGGTTTTATGTCTTAGTATTTATAAAGAAAGAGTTCCCACTATGACCTGAAAGAGGTAATAGAATTAGAAATAGAAAAGAGAAAAAAAGAGAGGGAGAGAAAGGACCATTTTTGTCACCTAAGTCCTGTTATATGCAAAGTCTAAAATATGCGTTTCCCACATTTACTACCAGATGTTTGGATGAGTTTTATCTCTCTTCCTTAAATGAGCCCTTTCTGCCACCTGAATCATACATCTAGTATGCACCTGTGGGTCCTTCCTTCTCAGTTCCAATTTAAAAGAACATCGAAGACATAATTCTTGCCTTTGATTATCATTCACAGTCTCATTTCATTTAGGACTTACTAATAGATGTTAAAGTATGAATATTGTCTTTGTTTTCCTGTCTGTATCATCTTCCTGCTTACTCATTCTTAAGACCAACATATTCAGAATCTCTCCTTATAGAACTGAATAGAGCTGGATTAAAAACCAGTTTGGGGGTGACATCGCCAAGAGGACCACATAAGTTATTTCTGACTTCACTCCTCTCACAAGGAGAAAAGCAAACAACTATTCAAGAATGAGACATCGCTGAGAGAATCCTAGAACACCGGGTGGAGGCCGAAGCACCTCCCTGCACCTCAGAGACCAAGAGAGACTGCATTGAAGGGGAAGGGAAGGACTGCACGTTGACTGCATTGCCCCTCCCTCAAGCCAGTGCAGTACCATCCCGAGTGAGGTGTTCTCTAGCCTTTGGTTCCTGCAGTGGGAAAAGAGAAGCCCAAAAGGTAACCAGCCCCCTTCCAGAACTGGGAGTGATTCTGTTGTAGCTGCTACTCTGATCTCCTACCATCGGGATGGCAGGGGAACCCACAGGGCCCAACCACTGGGAATCTGACTGTGATGAGCAGCACGGAGGAGCTTGCAACAACTAACACGTGGTTGTTGGCAGACTGAGTTTACACCTGCAGGGCTGAGGAGTAAGCCCAGCCGGTGGTTTCGCTCATCTGCCCACCCAAGTTGGGAAGCACTCTGACCAGAGAACTCAGTGACATGCAGATCTGCCTGATTCAGATCCTTGAATGAGGAGGTTCGCTGACTCTAGTTTGCCCACAGCCAGGCAAGGAGCTGAATAACAGCCTCACCACCTATGGAGAGTGTCTTTGGCTCCATCTGTCCAGAAGAGTTGTGACAACCCCTGGAAGCTGTGTGGCCCAGGGGTGCTCAAGCTGGTAATTTAGAAAGCACAGTCAACAACCTGTTTGGTCAGAAAACATGGGGTACAGATTAGCTAAGACAACAAATGAAGAGCTCTATCAGGGTTAGAGCTACTTCTGCTGGGCCCCAGGCAGGGAATTTTTGTAGCCCTGCACATTGCTGAACATATCCTTCAGCCTGTCCAACCAACAAACCTAATCAGAGCGCATAGGAAGCTCTATACCCCGTTGGACAGCCCTGTATACAAAGGCACTTGAACGTAAAGCCTAGCCCATGGCTTTCTTTCCCTCTCTGCAGAGCAAAATCAATGGCCTCACTTGACAGGGGATTCAGTGCACACCCTGGCCTGACTTGAGTCCCCAAACAAGCTGTACAGGCCCCGGTCCTGTGGTGCTGCCCTGCCAGGGAAGAAAAGCTAATTCATAGCCACGCTCACTACCGAAGATAGTACCCGGTCATGACCATCTAGTAAGCCTGACCAGAGAATCCAGGCAACTGTGGAAGCCATCCTAGTCTTACGTGGAGAGGGAATCAAGCTGGCAGTCCACGTTAACTGTTCTCAACCAGTGACACACACCCTCATCCCCATCCTCTGAGCTTAAGCAGTTGCCTTGCCCCCAGAATAAACTGTAATAGCAGGCCCCACCTGTCCAAGGACATTACCATTAAACACACCCAGAAACGCAAGCTGAGTTGACTGATGAAGGATTATCTCTGCCAAACAAACCAGTAAACACTAGACGAGGAGCCTGGCTGGCCAAGTGTGTAGACATTAGTATAAGGAATCAAGAATTTTTAAAAAATCAGGTAAATATGGCACCACCAAAAATAATAAAGCTCCAATAACTGACACTAAAAAAAAAAAAATGGAGATCTATGAGCTGTCAGACAAATAATTCAGAGTAATCCTCCTAATTCAGAAGTTTATTGAGCTACAAGAAAACACAGACAGACAACTAAACAAAGTTAGGAAAACCATGAATGAAAAAAAGAGAAGTTGGACAAGGAAATAGCAACCATCAAACCAAACAAAAATCCTAGAGTTGAAAAATACAATGAGGTGAGCTTTAGGAATGCCACCAAACCTGCAGCAGCTGTCAGAAATGAGGGAAGTCTTGGGGACTGTGAATTCTGACTTTGCAGTTTGCCTCATGTCAGATATTATCTAAAAGCAAAACAAAACAGAAATCCACCAACCTACACAGATAATAAACATGGCAAAATATGCATTAGGAATCACACATCAAAGAATGAAAAAAATATCTTGATATGACAAGTTAGTAAGTATAATAGCCACAGGATGGCCCATAAAGAAATCCATGCCATGTAGCCTTTTCTGATGTATACCTTAAATTTTCTTTAGCTTTCTTCTATTTGTCTAACAGTATTTCTTAAACATAATTTCATAAACATTAACAGGTGATTAGAGAAACAAAGATTTATTGTCTGAAAGCTTGAGAAAACTTCTTTACCATTAACATCTTTACCTCAGTGTCTTTGCTATATTCATCACCATTGTCTATTTCTCAACATTGTGTATTCCTGCCCTTAACTGGCTAGAGAGTACTTTTTTGTTTTAGGACTTGACACATTTTTTATTCTTTCTGGAATGATTGTATTCTCCATTCTTTATAAGACTAACAGCTATTCATCTTCAGGTTTAAGTTAAATTTAAATTATTATATATATTTATCATAACTGTTGATTATAATTTGTGTATTTATATGACTACTTGAATGTAAGCTATAATCTGTCTTATTTTCCATTATATCTTTTAAATGTTTTATGTGTGTTTTATATGATACATAGACTATAAGAGATGTTATTTTTAAAAAGATCTTACCTGTCTTAACTAATTTTTACAAATTGAGTGTAGGGATATAAGATATTTGACTGACAAGAGATAAGGACTAACAAGTCAAGGAATTTAATCATTGTTGGGGCAACTGGGTGTCTCAGTCAGTTGAGTGTCCAACTCTTGATTTCAGCTCAGGTCACCATCTCACAGTTTGTGGGCTCGAGCACTGTATTGGGCTCTGCACTGACAGCAAAGAATCTCCTTGAGATTCTCTCTCTTTCTTTCTCTCTCTCAAAAACAGATAAATAAACATTAAAAAAAGAAGTTTAGAAATTTTTATCTCCAGAGATGAAAGAGAAGTGAAAAATGCAAAAATGTCTGTGTAAGATGTTGAAGAAAAGGATGTAAGAATCTTTTACTTTCTTTTAGGGTAAGAAAATTTTAGAAATTCAGAAGTAACTCAAATGTGACTGAGACAAGGAGAGTATCTAAAGAGGTTCTGGGTAAGAGACTCATGATAAAGCAGCAAACAGCTCAATGGGAAACATATGCTGGTAGAATCAGTCCATTTGGAGCCAGACTGTGAGAGGTAGATTGGACACTGTTCTTTTCAAGACCAAGTCTAAGAAGAGCTTGTCTTGGATACAAATTTAGCTAGAACTCTGAAATAAAATGTCTATGTTAAGCCAGAACAAGCTAAATTCTGTGACAGAATGTGTGCCCTTATTCTTTACCACCTGTTTATAATTTGTGTCCCCAGGATTAATTGTGAAAAAGACATTTTGTTTTTTTAACTCACTCAGACCATCTTTCAGTTTCTTGATGTAACCAAGATTGTTACCACCCAAATACTTTCATGAGCTCTTTCCTGTGTCTGGAACATTTCCCCGACTGTCTGGTTAACACTTATTTACCCTTAGTGCCCCACATTCAATGTATTCCTTCTAAACTTTCTCCATTCCACCCAATTTAAACCAATGAATTGTGGACTTTATAACATAAGGTCCTAATTTATATGAATTCCTGTTATAAAACTCATAATACTTTATGTGCCTTTTTTTGTATTTGTGTTTGTTGAATAACTTGTCTCCCTAACCAGCCTACTAAGGTCGAGTTTCAAGATTAGAGTTGATGTCTCATTTTGTTTACAATTGTCTCTAACTCTTAGCACATTGACCGGTACATTGATTAATAAATACTCACTGAATGAATAAATGCCAGTTATGAAGGTAGACTAGGCTAATAATCCCACATGGAGGAGAGACACAGAATTGTCAGAGGCTGTGAGCACAAAGTCTCCAAAACATATGGAAAATTCTTGCTCAATCTGAAGTGATAGGATTTACAGTCAAGCATGGGTACCTTACCGTTGTGGGCACCTTGACGGTTTCAATGTAACTTACCTGTGTTATGTTTTCTTTAAGATGTAATCATATCTTTTAGGGCTGCAGACTGTGGGTTCATGTTAATTGTCCTGGCTGCAAATTAGTAAATGCATCATGTCATTTTTACAGTGGACTCTAAAAGAACAGAGTCTGTCGGGTGGAAATAAAGTAAATGTAATTAGTCCCACTAAACAAAATCAGATGATCCAGAAAAAGCTGTATTTTGAAAGAGGGTGAATTTATACTGAAGAAATAAATTGCCCTATAAAAGTACATTAATGTTGGAAATAGAAGAAAAAGAAAAGGCCACATGAGTGCTTATTAAGTTAGATGATTTCTTAATCATGTTTTTCAAAAGAAATGGGTTAAAGGTGTGGAATAAACTTAGCCATCTTATTATTATTATTTTTGGGGGGGTAACCTTATTTCAAACATCGACATTAGTTAGCCTGTTGTCATTAAGACTCATTAATGTCTACCAACATTGGTGAACAGCCAGTAGTGGGCGGGACTAATGGAGCCCTACCTTTTGTCATTAGGGATGCCATCTAACTTTGTTACTGCTCTAGATTAGTACTTAACTGAAATTGCTTATATATGACTGCTACTGTTAATGAGAAAGGATATTAAATATGGATTATATCTTTCATAGCCTGGCTAGCTGGGCATCTTGGACTTAATGCTCCCTATCTGTGACCCTTTACAATACATTAAGCACACCTTTTCAGCAGCAGCCCTATTACAGTTAATCATGCTGAGGAAGAGATTGTACTAAATGTATTAGCAAGACACTGACATTAACCAAATGCTAGTCAGATGTGTCAGGGAACAAAGAGCTAAATCTAGGCTCTGTCTTTTCAATGGACTTTGAGCTTTTAAGTCAATGATATCTGAGTCTTTCCATCCATCAGTATGAGGATTACTGGTTTCTTGAGTTACACTGATGTGTGGCCCCACATTTTTAAAGACTATAAGTAGTCAACTTATCCCCCTGTTTAGGAAATTTAGATGCAAATTTTACTATTTATGTCTCTGCAATGTGCATATTCTTTTAATGAAAAACAAAATGCGTTAAGTACATGGAGTTACAGGAAATAACACAAGGCTTTTAAACTCTTTAAGAAAAACAAAACAAGTCAAATAGTAAGTACAGTGATCATCTTAGCAACATACATAATGCACGATAATGATACATTTCATTTTGGGAGCTACATTATCTCCTGTTAAAAAAAAAAACGATAAATGGTATAGCTTTATGATATGAAAATATGAATGTTAATGCAAGATATCAAAAGTCTGGGAAGAATATACCTCTGAAAGCCTTGGAACAGTTGGGGCACGTGGCTGCCTCTGTGGGTAGAGTGTGTGACTTGATCTCAGGGTCATGAGTTCAAGCCTCATGTTGGGGGCTGAGCTTACTTAAAAAAATGAATAAAAAAAAAAAAACGAAAACCCTGGAGCAAAAGAACAGGAGTCTGAGACAATATGACACAGGAGCAGGGAACTGATTCCTGCATGTATCAAGGATGATTATTCAATTGATTTGTATCTTGCTCAGCTTTATACAGTGAAATTATGGAAGGTCTGAAGGTGGGACTGATGAGTGGACCTGAACAATCAAGATAAGCCTGAGATCCAGACATAAGCTTCTTAACAATGAACAGATATTCCTGTAGTTCAGTTTGGGGCACAGGCCAGAGTGTAAGGAGAAGTTGATAAAAAGAGATTGCAGATTCAGGGCTGTGTAGGAAGAAGTAGTATTGCAAAGAGTCTGACCTATCCACATGCAGCTTCAGGTTCCATCATTTTCCTTTGTTTTCTTAGTAAACTGTGCATAATCTGCCCCACAGAGTAGCTTTAGGTGTTCTCAGGGAATTCTTTATTATATGTTAAGGTCTTAAATTTTAAAAATTCATTCCAATTTTGCTTTGTATATTTAAAGCATTATGATCTTTCACTCAAAAATTCTAAGAAGTATTTTTTAAAATATAAATTATTAGCTAATACATATATGGAAACTACCATGGGTCAACCATGATCGACATATTTTATGTACACCTAAAACCTCAATAAATTCACACAGCAATCCTATGAGATAGGTACAATTTCATAGATAAAGTGAGGCACAGGAAGTTCAAGCAACTTACCTAAGTGACTCACATAGCTATTGGCTCACAAGGACGTGAACCCATATGGTCTGGTCCCCGAGTACTATGGTCTTAGCCGTTAGAGCATATTGCTTATTGTGAGGATAGAAGTACCAGCTAACTAAAGTGGCAAAACCATCCTAGATGCAATAATTGGGGATTTGTTAAGAAAGTTAGGGTATGTCTACATAACAGAGGACATAAAACGTTATTTTGTCATATGAAAAACAATCAAGTTATACTGATTAACCAGAAAAGTAATCTTGGTCATGGGGTATGGATGCTGTGAGCAGAATCCTCAGCTGACCAGTGAAGGACATGCAGCACAAACAAGAAATGAATCTCTGTTGCTTTAAGTCATTGAGATTGTGGGTTGCTTGTTACTGGAACATAATATAGCCCATTCTAACTAATACAATTAATAATCAGCATATACTCTAGATACAGAGACTGAATCTTAAAAAAGAAAACAAAAAACAAAAAACCTAACAATTGTGGTGAAAATGAATTGTAACCATCCCAACAGATTATACTGGAACAGAAAAGGCACAAAAGCATTTTAATTCAGTTGTCATGACCTTTGGTATTAGACACATCCATTTTTAAACACCATCTTTTAACTGTTAGATACTTAAATCTCCTTTTCTGAAAAAAAAAGTGAATAATTTGCTGTGAGAATTCAATGAAGCTATAAAAGTAAGGTGCTTAGCATAGAGCCACACAATAAGAATTCAAACCACAGTAGCTTTTATTGTTTATGGGATGCCCATCTCAGCAACATGATAAAGCAACAAGTTGGAGGGAGAGTTGCCCTGAGAGGTAATCTAATTTCTACTGTCAGACAAAGATTCACTTGTCTTTATTTTTTAGCTACTTTTGGATTTGGGGCAGAAGTGGCAGGAGGAGGGGCTTGCTCCCCACCCCATCCATTATTTAAGATAAAACAACTGCAACTTTTCACATAATGCACATTCACAAAGTAATCAAAGTTCATTCGTCAAAGTCAAAAGCCAGTAAACCAGAACTCCCAATTTCTCTTTGTTAAATACTCACATTATGGGATGTTTTCATTTAATGCTTTAATCTCATTAACCAAGAGAGAGGGTCTCAATATCCTGCCTGAGAGAATGGCACACCTAAGACCTCAGTGAAACATTGTGAAAAACATTTCCAGTCCATTGAGCTTCACCAGGATGGCCACAGATAGTTTTGACCATCAGGAAAGAGCTGATATTGAAGAATGATCTATCATCTTTGATTGAACTCTCCCATCATGTGTGGGTATTATAAGAAGAGATTAAGTTAAGTCTGAACAATACTAAATTCTTGGAATGTGTTGACTTCATTATTCCTTACAACTAAAAATAAACAAACAGAACACTCTTTGCCAAGTCAAAGAATCAGGAAGCCTGAGGAAGGATAAATATTGTATATAAAAACAATAAGCAGCACCAAATAGATAAGAACCTATGTTAATTAGATAAAATTAATACCATAATATTAGAATACACTCTTACAAAAGTATCAGGTTTTAACATGAACTCTGAATAATCCAATAAAGACGTCTTTAAAGGGTACATGGTAAGAAACAAAGTATGGCTGGCAAATTCTGCTTTTACCAAGATTTTGTATTAGCGTCTTTCCTCAGGAAAAATGGTTTATCTCAAGTGCTCATTTCTCACTGAAAATTAATGAAGAGAACATTTACATCTCATGCTTTTTTTGTGACAGATTTTGCCGTATAAGTATTTAGATAGATCCCTCAATATTCAAGAAGAGAAGGAAGAGATCAATATTGATACATTCACATCTACTAAAAAAAGAATGTGTTTTTACTTCTCACGGAATCCATTATAACTGCTACATTAAGCTCAGTAGCTTGTGCCCCCATAAAATACAACTTTGCTACTAGAAATTTAAAGAGATCATGTCCTTATTTGGTGTATTTATAAAGCAGAACCCAGATATTTCTAGTGTCTTAAAAATGGTTAAATACAAAGAAAGAACATTATTGGCAAAATGAATAAATATAAAACTTAGACATTAAAATTATTGTGCAAAATGACACAAATTACTTGATCTCTCTTTTCACACTGAAGTTAAATTGAATTTGTATATATAATTCTAATATTATTATAAGTCTAGTTCTTATTTATTTCAGAAAATAGATTTATGAGTAGCATATTTAGATTTTTATTAGTATATTAAAAAGCACAGATCCGTTCCTACTATCTAGAAACTTGAATACTCCAATATTTTGTTTATGTCCTGTAATTTCTTTTTTTTTTTTTAATGTTTTATTTATTTCTAGGAGAGAGAGAGAGACAGCGTGAGTAGGGGAGGGTCAGAGAGAGAGGGAGTCACAGACTGAAACAGGCTCCAGGCTCCGAGCTGGCAGTCAGCACAGGGCCCGACGCGGGGCTCGAACCCACGAACCGTGAGATCATGACCTAAGCGAAAGTTGGACGCTTAACCGACTAAGCCACCCAGGCGCCCCTATGTCCTGTAATTTCTAAGCTTTGCTCCTTGAAATTTTTGAGTTCCCAAATAATACAACTTATCTAAAGAGCGGATATATTAAAATATTATGATACTGCCTATTTATCATTGCTTTAGTCTCCTTTATGCTATAAGCTATAGATAGAGTAGATTCTATCCTATGGGATTTGATTCTTAAATTGATCAACTATACACACACACACACACACACACACACACACACTATATATATATATATATATATATATAGTGATTCTACATCTCTGATTTTACATCTATCATTTGGATCTGGTTATTCTATTGAGATATTTTTAAGAGGTAGAAGAAAAATCAAGAAAATAGGGTTGCATAGGTGGCTCAGTTGGTTAAATGACCGACTCTTGGTTTCAGTTCAGGTCAGGATCTCATAGTTCATGAGACAGCTCCGAGTTGGCCTCTGCATGGAGCCTGTTTGGGATTCTCTCTATCCCTCTCTCTCTTCCCCTCCCCCAAT